CAACTGGCTCGCACTTATCGCTGATGTTAAGCCTACATTTGTTTTATGTACTTTTGTTACGGTTTAACTTTTGCGATTTTTGATTGTGAATAGGGAGCTCAAGGGCGAAAGCCTTGTTCCCTTAATAAAGTGTCTTAAAATGACTATAAAGTGACTTAATGAAAGATATGTGCTAGAGGCTTCGAGAGCTCACTTGCTAATTCTTTCAAGAACTTGGCCGGTGTATTGTCTGGACCGGATGACTTTGCTTCTTTGAGGCTTTGCAGCTCTCTTTCAACTACGAATCTTGGGAAAAAATAAAGATTGAAGCGTTGGACCAGCGTCTACAATAGTATCGTTGACAGTGTCAAACTGAAGCTCGCTTTCCCTAGGGAATTCCGAAGCAAATAACAGGCTACAGTACTCGGCTTTCTCGCCATTCTCAACGACTTCCACGCCACTATCATCCTTAAGTACTGCGACTGGGTCCTTGTTTTTAATCTACCATTAATATAGCGGAATATGATTTTGGGCTTGTCTTCAGCCTGTTGGAGGATTCTTGATTCATAGCTTTTCCTGGCCTGACGAATCGATTTTTTACCGCATTTCCTTGGCGGCGGAACTCATCGAGGTGTACTGGTGACCCAGTTTCTCTGAATAACTTCCAGTTCGTTGAACATGCAGAAGATGCCAGGTTCGGAACTCATGTTAGTGAGTTAACCATTGAATTTACATTTAGGGGCCATTGAACCCGACTCTTAATAGCACAGCAGTCAAACCAAATCCACACATTAATGACCATAACAATCGGGTGATTCTGTCAGTTGTTAAACTTCCGAGCCACGGCTTTTAGTAGGCTCTAGTCGTTTCGGGTTTCTTAGGTCGATTAGCCACGTGAATGCATTTATCAGTATTGATTTCCCTTTTCCTTCGAGCTTCCATGCGCCACCCTTCCGTCAAAACATGCCATCTATCCAGGAGTAGGACTGGGCGTAGTGTCTAAACGAGTTAGGAGAGCCCAGCTACGTGGGCCCGCACGACCTGGTTAGCAAGTAAAATACCGGGATATATAAAGAAAATATTTTCCATTCACGTTAAATATGCATGTTCAGGACTTTGGCAACACCTCGACCATACTGGCGAGAGCATAGCAGATAACATGCTTGTTGACAGAAAGGGGAATAATTATTATAAGGAAGGTGCTTAGATATAGCCTACGGATGTCAGACGAGGTAGGATAATGTGTTATAATAGAGTTGGGAGTGTGGTTTTATTGCAGATTTGTATGGCTACACACAAGTTGAAGAGCGCAGAAAAAGTCACTGTGGTAACTGAATGTCCTGGCGCAGTAAGGACATCTGATGCGGTTGCGACGGATGTATGTTGGGGCTCCGGTACTATTTCGTTGATCACAGTGCAATGGATTCACTAGTACCTGACCAAGTTGATGCATGATGCAAATGTGCAATAGTATTAGGTAAAAGATGTACTAGTGACTATGCTCTTGGTCGTGGTAACGTCAGCGACGCCGGAGTTGTTAGAAGCGGTGGTAGAGAAGTATGCAATTGAAGAAGGTACGTATATCGCAGCGGGTTAAGAAAGTTAAGTCCTAGAAACTGCGATCGTCAGACGGTGGAGACCAGAATAGTAGGAATGGTTTATTCTGTATACAGAGGAACGGAGAATAGATGAAAAGAGTTTGACTAAAGAGAGCACGTCCTTCCGCTGGAGCGGCGTAGTCCACAGTGACGAGAGAGTCGGGAATCACTAGAATGTCAGCACATGCTTTGTTACGGCAGCCAATCATGCGCTTATG